AATGGGTATCGGCGCCTGGTGGAGTTTTGCCAACAGAGCCGTGCTCCTGGAGATCTCACTAAAACAAAATAGTCGAGACTCAGACTTACAAGTGGCTTTCATTTCTGGCCATCGTGTCCTCTGTTTCTGGTACCTCATCCCATAGCAGGCACTGCCTCTCTTCCCTCGTAGCCACCTGCACTGTACCTGCTGCAGCAGCAGGTGGGGAGGGAAGGAGGGAGCATTTACCACCATGAAGTGCTGCTCTCTGCTTCCTCCCTTTCCCCAGGGTATCACCCAGAGTAATGTCTCTCTTGTATCTCCCTTGCTACAGCCATGCCATCAGGTAATTTCTACAAATTGACTGTGCTGTGTCTTTCTCCAGTGCAGAATCAATACTATTCTATGCTGCATTTTAAGGTTTTAGCTGCAAAAACCATTTTGCTGTGTTCCCACATTATACTTTGAGTGCTGCTGTTGATTATAATTAATGCTTATAACATCTTCAGTTGTGTCAAAATATTGCACAGATCAATTAAGTTTCCCAACACCTTTGAGGTGTTGGTAAAAAGTAGTACACCTCTAATTGCTGTTTTGTGATACCTTCCTTCTAAAAATGTCACTGTTTTACTAGAAAGTGCATGACTTAAGGAAAAAGGTCCTTTTATATAAAGCAGGTGTGGTTTTGTTTAATATATTTTACTCTGAAGCTGTGAAGTGCTAAGGGCATGCACCTCCTCATTTGCTGCTCCTTGGCTAGTGAGCAGTATTTAAGATGTGCAAACACAGTTGCTTTTGCTCATATATCCATTTCTAATTTTCAGGGGAAATCTTTGCTGCACTGTACTAAAAGTGGTAGATATACTAGAGTTCTTCGGGTACTGGAAAAACCTAATGATGACAGCCAAGTGAGGGTCTCATGCTTTTTGGGGAGCAGGTTTTTTTAAAAGTGTTTGCAATATGTCAATGTAACACTGTAGTCCAGTATAAAATTATCCACCTATATGCCTAAAGCACTTTTAAAAGTGAATCTTAGGCTTTCAAGCTGCTGAAGCAGTTCTCAGACTTTTACCCAGTATTATTACGTATGCTTCACAGATGGAGAAACAGAGGCAGAGGGAGGTGACTCACTGAAGACTAGATGAATGACAGAGCTGGGAATAGAGTCGGGGTCCCCCTGCTCACAGCACTGCTGCCAGTTCACTGGGCTGTGCAATTGCATTACACTGAGCTTACAGTTGGGTCAGTCAAAGCACAAGAAGTTAAAGGCTTGGGCTTGATGAGGACTGAATGCCCAAAACTCTGGTTGAACCCGATGAAAGTGTTGAACATGCAGTATGCAGAAAATTCAACATTGTGCATGGTAGGCAATTTCTTCCATCATGTCAGGATGTGGCCAGGGCAGAGCCCCAGGCTTCTCAGTTCAGCTTCTGGGGTTGCAGCCGTGCTGCTGTGCAGAAAGGCAGTGGCTGCAGGCAGCCAAATTCAGGTAGAGAAAGGCGCTGGCAGTTGCAATTTTTAACTGGCTTCTCTGAAAAGCTGGATGTGGTTCCTTCTGCCATTGCACCACTCTTGTTGCTAGTTCCTGAAAACATTTTTTTTCTGCATAAGCCATGAAGGCTTATGGAGTCTGTGTCTAAATATATCTAATGAGAAGAAATAAAACCTAGAAGAGAGAGAGGGAGTTGCAAAGGCAGTCCTCAGTGGCATTTGTCTGTGAGTGATGATTATGTAGTTGCATCTAAAATGTATTTCCCACCCCCATTCAATTAACAAGTCAGTGTTTTAATGGACAGAGCTGACAGCTGCAAAAATCCATCCCCCAGAAAGAGAGATTCCAGCACCTGAGAGAAGTCTGCAAAGCCTAGCAGTACCATTCTTCATTATGAAGGAAGGAGAAGTGTCCTCATGGGAGCATCCTATCGCTGTAAGGAGCTGCCTCCAGAGGATTTTGCAGGGCGGAGGCTAGAAAGAGAATGAGTCTAGGCCCAAACTAGCAGCTCAGTTTTGCAAAGCAGTGATGCTCTGGCCTTCATCCAGTGGAGCTTGTGTTTAGCTTTAAATACATTAAAAGGAAAATTAAGAAAGTGGCATGTGCTTCTTCCCCCCACCTCCTTTCCTTTTTCAACATGATTAACACTTAAGAAACACCTAAATATTCCCTCAAAAGCTTATTCCATTTCAGAGCTACTGAATTCCTTTTCCTTGGTCATGTCCTTCTTTTATTTCAGTTTCTAGACCAAATTTACTCCTTGGTAGCCTAAAATATGGTTTTCAGTCATACAGGATGTGACAGTGGGATATATATAGATGATATTTCTGGTCCTGTGTGCTGGAGAGCTCTCAGCCTTTTTAGGGATGTCTGTCTTCAGGCATGACTCCAGGAACTATAAGCAGGAAGATGTATTTTACCAAATAACTTGAATTTATAAATGCCATCCATCTTGCAAAGAACCTGGTGTATAGGTATATGCATGAACAGAATATGGATGTGTCCAGCCAGGAGTACCCAGGACCGTACGTGGTTTTCATAGAGTTCTGAGGCCACTTCTAACTACAGACTAATTCAACAGAAAGTCTTCATGAGTAATAGCACCAAACAGAGAAGTGCTGGAATTTCTTGCACACACAAAAGGGGGACTATGGCGTGTGGGAGAGGTCCAAGCATTGAGGGTGCTGGTGGTGATCCTGCTGCAGTTTCTTGGTAGGGTTTGTGACATCTGGCCTTAGTTTTCTCCAGCCTTTTTGACTGAATGGGTGCAGAGATCTGGCTGAGAGCTGCACTTCAGTCCAAAGTCATCTGTGAAAACCAGATGTTTGCCTTTGTAACTGCCATTGAATCTTTTCCTCCAGCTCATGATCCAGGGAAAGCATCTCACTCTGTAAGGGTGGAACGTCAGAGTTAATCAAGCTATTTCAACTTATTTGTCAGAAACAGTGCCGATCAAATGTGTTTCTATCAACAGCTGCCTTTTTCAATTATGCAGAGAAAACATGAGAGGGATAGTGTGCACTGCAATATAGGCTTGTAATGATCTGAGAGGTTGCAATGGCTTTCAAACTGAGAAAAATGCAAAGGAGAGATGCTGAAGTGGTAACAGTAATACAAGTGCTACAGCAGAGTCCATTACAAATAAGTAATAGCAGCGCTTCAGCAAATGAACCTTTCCAAGGGTACCAAATAGTTCCTGCCATAGGTTGGACTGTGTTCTGTAGTGTCGGGATATGCATTAGGCCCAGGAGCAAAGAATTGTTTTATCTAACGATATCTTCACCGTTTGTTTGAAGCCTTTTTAACCTTCTGCTGTAGAAATGGTGAACTGCTGATGAGAAAAAGGACCTAACGTAACACCACCATTCCAGCAGTCACCTGCTGCTACCAGTGGGATCCACCAATACATGGGTAAAAAATGTGTTCATTTTCCCAGCCAGGGCAGTTTTTCACATGTGTATGAAACTGTGTCATGAAGATGTTTCTCAGATGTCATGGGCAAATACCTTGTGATAGCTTTCTGTACAAATTAAAGAAACATGCAGGCATCTGGGACAGGAGAAACTTCATAGTGACAGTGTAACATTAGTGCATTACAAAGGAGACTTCTTAAAATAGGTTTTAGACCTTTTCCATCATCTTTGTTTTTATAGGGCATTTTCATGGTGTTTATAGATAAGCTTGGGCCATAGACAGAGCATTCTATATTCTACTAGAAAATAGAAAATGAGCATAAACTACAATTTTGCTAATGTCTTTTTGCAATAGCTCTGTTAATAATTATGTTCTATCTGCCAGATGGTCCCAAGTCGCCTCCCTTTCAATGGAAGAGGGACTGCAGCTCATTCTTCTAGGTCAGCTCCAAAAGTGTTCAGTTTCTCAAATGATTTTACAGTTTTCCTAATTGAGCAGTCTGGTCTGCCGGGATCCCACTAAAATGAGGGATCTGCCCCCAAGGCCTGGGCATATCCTGTAGATCAAACTGCAGGATGACTACCCATGATCTAGCAGTAGGCACTATGTAACCTGCAGCTGAATTGCAGGTCAAACATGGAGCTGTAGGCTCTAGGTGGTCTTCCACCTTAACGTTAGTTAAGTTTATGTTTTTTAATTGTGGGCTGTAGTAGCAAAACCTTGAATTTTAAAGAGGCAAGTGGTGTGACCAGTACAGAGATGCAGAGAAAGTATGGACAAATGAAACTAGCACGTGTCACTAGCTTGTATTGCATTGAAATAATGCTTGTGTTCATGTGGTAAATGATCTCAAAATTTGTTGTCATGTAGTGCTGCTCAGTGACAGGTTTCAGATTGCTTTGTAAAGGAGAGCAAAACCATAGTTTTACACATAAAGAAATTGATGTTTAGAGGAGGGAAATTGTTTCTCTGACATCACCCAGTTGGTCAGTGGCAGATCTAAGGGCAGAGTCTCTTCATCTGGAATTTTTTCCTTTTCTAAAAACTGACTTCAGCAAACATAGAAATGTTAATCATGGAACAGCTTCACAGAGGCTGAAATTCATCTGCTAGAGCAACTTCACACCGTGATTGATCCATGACTCTCGACATGCACTTACTTTTAATATGTGGGTAAGGGGACTCTCATTTCTGACAAAACTCGTGAGATTTTTTGGTGTATTAATCTTCGAATAAACTGTTGTCTAGTTCTTGTGCTACTCTGTATGGTGGTGAACTTCACCTCCAGCACAGAGGTTGTATCTATAAACCACAGATAAAACAAGCCTGATGCTTCGCTTACATGCGTAGAGTACTTGACTTCACATCTTGTGTCTGTCTCACAGAGAACTGGTCCAAGTACGTCTGGCAGTATGCTAGTTATTTGGGTGACTTTGGTCCCACAATGTCCTCTGTCCATTGAGGAATGAAGTACAATGTGATTGCACACCAATAGATAAATTTAAAATGTAAACTTGAAGACTAAGAACCGTTTTGCCTGTGTAAATTTGTTATGTGGTGGGTTCTGTAGTGGCTAATAAGTGACTTAATTGTTTGTTTTAATGTCTCTGTGCAGGACACCAGCCATGATTGGATGCTCGTTTGTAGTGGACCGAGAGTATTTTGGTGAGATTGGCTTGCTTGACCCTGGTATGGAGGTCTATGGAGGAGAAAACATTGAATTAGGCATGAGGGTGAGTAACAAAGAAGAGGCTGTGTGCCACGTCCATTTGCAAAGAAAGACGGGGAGCCTGTGGCCCAGCAGAATTACTGTCTGACTGATAGGCTATTACGCTGAAGTAATTGATATTGCAACACTATTTGGAACTGACAGTCCCAGTAAATGAATGCTCCTGGCCTTACTGGCCTTGAGAGAACTGATAACAGTCAGAAAAATGGTTTATTGGTTCATTCTGTCAGTGTCTGAACCCAGTGAGACAGATTTTCCCCTTTCCCAGTAGCTCTGCTTGTGCAAACAGCTACAGTAAGTCTTCATGTGCTCATAGCACCTTGATAATGTTGCATACTTGTGGCCTGGCAGATGCAGCACCAACAGAAATCTAAGGCCAAGCTGGTAAAAGTCAGTTGTAATGTTCTACATACCACGCATGATGAATGCTGTGGTATTTTAAAACTTCAAGGGTCCTCCTTATTAGAATAAGAACTACAGGGTACAGGTATTCGATCCTGTGCAGTACTGCGAAGCGTGGACAGATGACTTCAGGACAGCATCAGTCCACCCTGTGCTTCTGGACCTATAGGAGATTTGATACTTGTGATCCTTTGCCCTTGTTTTCAAGGTGCTGCTTGCCACCAAGTCCTTCAGAAGTCCAAGGAACAGGTCTTTGCTTAGCACTTGAAAATTAGGCCACTTACTGTTTCATGAACACAGTTACCTCATTATAAAGCTGACTCTTTAATTATTTTTCCCTTACCCTTTTTTCCCTGCTTCACAGTAACATGCCCCTGGTGATGTAATGTGCTCACGAAAGCATATATTCTGCTCATGGTGAAACACTGAACATCAAATTAGTCCATTCGTTATCTGAGTCTTTTTTTCTAAAATGGCTACAAACTCCTTCACAGCAATAGGCTGAGGAAGAACGTCATTGCAGCAAGGGTTTATTTTCACATATGAGTGTATATTTATTATTCCAGCATCGCAAGAGGGATAGGTTTGTAATGGGACTGTATGAATACACTGCTTATACTTTAAGGTTCAGAATTCACATAGGGGACAGAAAAACTGCTACCACAAATCATCCAATTTTCCTTAAGAGGGTCAGGCTATTACCAGGATTGTGTGAGCTTTCCTTTATCATTGTGCAGGGCTTTGAGCTGTTTGAAACTTTTTCCACATGGCTGCTCCCAGAATAGATTGAACGCTCTGGCAAAACTGGCATAGCTGATGAATAAGCCTCCTAAGAAATCTGAAAGCTGTCGCTCTTCCTTAGACGAGAAGAACTTGCTGAGTACAATTAGGGCTCCTGGTAAACAGAGGCAAAGGTTTTAATAAGATTATAAAATGGCACTTGCTTGAAGAGACAAGGATTTGAAGTGAGCAAGGACAGGTTTTCAAGGGTAGAGGACCTGTTAAAGTCTGCAGAAACCTAGGATCTAGAAACTAGCTCTCATTCTTTGGTTTGTGGGGTTTTTTTAAGTGTGGGAAGTTTTGCCCTATAAAGAATAATGGACCCTACTGTTCGAAAAAGGCTTTATGAAAGTACAGGAGTATGAGTTCACTACGAAATAAACTGTATGTCCATAGCATGGATCTGTTACTGTATGTTTTCAGCCTGGATCTAGCATGGTAAGTAATATACAGTGTCTGCCTCCTAATTTGCAAGTCCTACGCGTGATCCCCTCCTGTGTGTCTTTCAGAGCTGTCAGAAACTAACAGCGTGAAAACGCACAGGAACCTTCTCTCTTCCCTGTAGGACATTTATAAATCACTGTGAATTTACAAAGTTTTTTCTTAACTCCAGAATCTCAAAGCAAGTTGCAAAAAAATCACTCCTTTCTGAAGGCCTGGTGCACTGACCAGCGCAGGGATATTTGGCATATCCCCTACACCTGCACAGAGGGATGCTGTTGCCCATGTGTGACTCTGCTTGCGTGGAGCAATGAAAGCCAGAAAAGGGAAGGAATAACTGCATGAATGAGTAAAGAGCAAGAAATAATATAATAATAAATAATAAAATGGTGGGGAAATGGTGGCATGCGTTTGGCTGAAAACAGTTCCTGTTTAAAATAACTGTAACAATAATCCTTCAAACTTTTTTGAAAACTATTATCATGTTACTGCTAAAAGAAGAGATTAGGCTTAGAGTGTCTGAATAAGATTACATTGCGTCTAATGAACCCTCATTTAAATTGTTTTAATAAAGTGAAATAGGGAAAGTCAATGAAACTAATGAGGTGATTTGGGAGGATACTGTTTGATAACCCAGCTAATCCACCTTAAATCTATTGTTTATTAAAAAATCGTCATCTTGGGTATTCCATTATTAGCTTTTCCCCTTTCTAAATTCCATAGATGGAAATATTTAAATAATTAACCGAAGTGATTTTCTGTATTGAGTAAGCAGCATATAAACTGACTGGGGCTACCACATTTATTGAAAATATTTAGGGCTCTGCAGCTCTTTTTTTAGCTTATATTGTTTTTTATGTAAACTTCATATTGGTTAGAGCTGTGACATTCTCCTAATGGAGCAGCTTTGCAGTGAAGCCAATGTCTGTTTGCCAAGCTGGAGATATTCTGATTCGGTTGAGAAAAAGCACCAGCTGTTCTGGGAAATAAAAGGGAAATGGACATGATTGAAGGCTTGTAATAGTAAGGAAATAGATGGACGCATATAATGTCATCTTGTACTATATTTTTTCAAAAATGACAGTTTCACTGCAAGATGGATAAATACAGGACTGAATTCTGTTATGGACAAACGGTGCTGATCTCTTAGTGTTCACCAGCCAGCTACTGAAGCTGATGGGAATTGTCTGTGAGCACCTAAAAGCTGATTTTGGCCAGGAATTTACAAAGTCAAATCGTGGCTGACTGCTACGTGGATGAGGTACCCTTCACAACCACAGGCAACTTGGCAGGCAAGTACCAGCCGCTGCTCTGCCTCCTTGTATCCACGCAGATCCAGTGAGCAGTAGATAGCCCTGTTTTAATTTCAGCTGTGGTTCAGCTGTCCTTTTCCCAACCTGGAGGAATAGATAAAGAAAAACAATGGTACTTTCTCCTGCAGCAAAGCTGTGGATGTGTCTGTGCCTGAAGAAGACACCCTAAACTCAGGGTAGGTCATGTTCATCTTCACTGCTCCTGGACATCAAATGGTCTCTCTGACCTGTAGAACAGAGAGATGTCCCAATAGTAAGAGAAATTCAAGCAATGCTTGAATGTAGAGGAAGACACGGATCCCTTTAAGCGAGGGTCTCAAATTACGATCCTGTAAGAAACTGCATGTTTTGCAAGCATCATGTAAGTTCCCTTCCTAGTGGGAGCTACAGACACACGTAATTATTTAGAAAGGGATCATGTAAACATTAAAAGCCTAGTTTATGATTTGACCTAATACAAGCAGTTTATGATGCATCTTTTTATAGTGAGTCATTAATCATTGCACTAAGGATCTCTCTCTTCCTGTGGTGCTCCAGTAATAAGGTGAATGAATAGCTGTTCTTTTTATTTTGTAGCCATCAACTCTAATGGTGGGTGGTAAGAGATCAAGCGTTTATTTTAAAGGATTCTCTGGTACAAATTAAATTCTGCTTCATTAAGAATCCAAGCAAATTAAATAAAAAATATGTTGCCACATTGACAACTGAAAGCAAAACTTTTTCTCTTTTATGGCCAGCATCAACTAGCCATACTACTTTATTCTCAGTAGCACTGAGATATACCTTAAAGTAGGGAATCTGCATCAGTTTGTGAATTCTTAGAGGTGCTAACTCAGAGATTTGAAAAAAAAACACAACAAAATAAAACCAACAAACACTCCCCCACACAACTAATTACTTACTGTCTTTGAGATATCTTAAAGAAACCTGCTGTATAAGAGGTCCTGGCCAGAGAAATCAATTAGAGATGTCCCTAGGTACTGGTGTGACAAATTAACTCTATGGTGAATTCAAGTAGTGGCTTAGTTCTCCAGCAGAGCTTAGCTGGATGCCTAAGGTTAGTTGTGACCTTGGCTCGTGCAGATGTGTCACAGGTAACTTTGGCCAGTTTTGGCAATTGGCAATGGCATGGCCCTGGGAACGCACAGTTCATCAGGACTGAAAAGAATTGTCTGAAAACAGGACAAAAGCTCAGATCATTTGTGCTCTCTGCTGTTGTGATTACATTGCTAATGGTGGCCAAGCTGCCTAGCTGAAATCAAGCATGGGTTATGTATATAGAAATGCAGTCCCACCTCTGGGCTTTGCAGAAATACTGTGTGTGCTGTAAAAAAATCATGATGCAGATTCACTGAAATCTCTTTATGAAGAAACAGAACTCGTTACTTAACAGACTTTAATACACAAGCAAATCGTTACATTTTCCAAGCTTATGCTGTATGGCTCGGCTTTACTTTCTTTAAAAACAGATGAACTACATTTTCTCTGAACAGAAATGCTAATGGTAGACTGTTGAGTAGTGAATTCTTGACCTGATTTTATTACCTTTAGCTAAGGAGATTTAGATTCCTTTGAGCAGTCAGTGTTTTAAATGCAGATTCTAGGCTGGTATGCTGTAATAAAAATGTCCCAAGGTTTATGTATAGCAAACTTTAATTCTGAGTTCTGGACAATGCTTTTTACCCTGTGTGATTCATGAGGCCAAGCCTCTAGTCTTAGCTCTAAGAGGTAAGTAGGAACCCCATTCAGGAGAGTTTCTCAAAATTTCAGGGTTTTTTTCCCACATGCTGTGGTAAAATACGAGTGAAAATTGTACAAAAATACAAATGACTTGTTTTTGTAAATCCAACAATACTTCATTTTTATTTTGACCTTTCTCAAGCTGTAATTTTTACTATAAATTAATTCAGTTGCAAATGAAAAGTTTTAAAAGAAAGCCTTTCAGTTTGAAGACATTTGATCACTTAAATGATGTTAACAAAACTTCACAATTGCTGGCAGCTGAAAATGTAGTGCACTCTGTCCTTAGACATGCCTATTCACACTGCAGTGCGATAAATCAGCATTT